AGGGCTTATTATAGGGGAAAAGCTACTGAGATAGAATCACCATAATTAAAAAGACATTTCATAAAGTATGAAGCTGCAACCTCTTTTGCACTGGTTAAATATAAGACTACTCAGTGGCCTATAGAGTCTGAGGGGCTGGTGGTATGTATCCAAGCACTGTTTATTGTGCTTTTCTAGTTGCAATGGTGAATTAAACAAAAAGAGCTTTATGTGGCAGAGGATTCACGGTTCTAGTGGGGAAAAAGAAGGCAAAAATAAATGGCAACCATTAAAAAAGTTGGTTATACAGGCAACCCATACATCCTCCCTCAATGCTACTCAGTGTACTTTCTTCCCTGTGCATTGTCTTCTGCTGTGAGACCTGACAGTAGGTGGGCTAGCATCACCTTTCATTAACAGCTGTGTGCAGTTTTGCACTGATCTGTTTGTTCAGAGAGAAAGGCCTTGCCTCTGACAGGTAGCTGAAACACGAGTTTCACTCTTGAAGTGAGCAAGTGCTGTTGCTTAGGAAGGAAAAAAAGAGTGCATGTCATAGAATTACTGAACTGAGATTTTGTAACAGAGGAGGAGAAATAATAGATTTTTCAGCTTGTCATTAAATACAGAACCACAGAATGGTTGAAGGTGGAAGGGACCTCTGGAGATCGTCTAGTCCAACCTCCCTGCTCAAGCAGGGTCACCTACAGCATGTTGCACAGGATTGCATCCAGGCGGGTCTTTAATATCTCCAGGAAAGGAGACTCCACTCTGGGCAACCTGTGCCAGTGCTCTGTCACCCTCACAGGAAAGAAGTTTCTCCTCAGGTTCAGATGAAACTTCTTGTGGTTCAGTTTCTGCCCGTTGCCTCTCATTCTATCCCTGGGCACCAAGGAGAAGAGTCTGGCCCCATCCTCTTGACACCCTCCCTTCAGATACTTGGACACATTGGTCAGATCTCCCCTTAGTCTTCTCTTGTCCAGGCTAAACAGGCCCAGCTCTCTCAGCCTTTCTTCCTAGGAGAGATGTTCCAGTCCCCTCACCATCTTTGTAGCCCTCCGCTGGACTCTCTCCAGGAGTGCCATGTCTCTCTTGTCCTGGGGAGCCCAGAACTGGACACCGTACTCCAGGTGAGGCCTCCCCAGGGCTGAGGAGAGGGGCAGGATCACCTCCCTCCACCTGCTGGCAACACTCTGCCTCATGCACCCCAGGAGACCATTGGCCTTCTTGGCCACAAGGGCACACTGCTGGCTCATGTTTAACTTGTTGTCCACCAGCACTCCCAGGTCCTTCTCTGCAGAGCTGCTTTCCAGCAGGTCAGCCCCCAACTGCTGCCTGAGGTTATTCCTCCCTCGATGCAGGACTTGGTACTTCCCTTTGTTGAACTTCCTGAGGTTCCTCTCTGCCCAGCTCTCCAGCCTGGCCAGGTCCCTCGGAATGGCAGCACAGCCCTCTGGTGCCTCAGCCTCTCCTCCCAGTTTAGTATCATCAGCAAACTTGCTGAGAGTGTGCTCTGTCCCTTCCTCCAGGTCAATGAAGACAGCCAGTCTTCAAAAAGGGTAAGAAGGAGGAGCCAGGAAACTACAGGCCTGTCAGCCTCACCTCCATCCCGGGAAAGGTGATGGAACAGCTCCTCCTGGAGGTCATCACTAAGCATCTGGAGGACAAGAAGGTGATCAGGAGTAGTCAGCATGCACCATCCACTTATCCAGCCTGCACTTCCTGAGCTTGCCTGGGAGGATGTGATGGGAGACAGTGTCAAAAGCCTTACTGAAGTCCAGGGAGACAACATCCACTGCTCTGCCCTCATCTCCCCAGCCAGGCATCCCATCATGGAAGGCTATCAGGTTGGTTAAGCATGATTTCCCTTTGACGAATCCATGCTGACTGCATTCTGATAAATGGAAAAGATTGACTAGTTTCGGGTTTTTTTCACCCCTTTTGAAGTATATCAGTGAAGCAAAAAACTGCAGGTTAAAAAATAAAAATCAGAACAAGTAACAAGAGTTTATTTAGGTTTCATTAATTCTCTATTTTTTAAGTAAAGTTCATGGAAAATCTCAGTCCGTTTGTATATAAATTGGAGAGAGATATGTTGGTAATAAAAGATACTGAAACTGAAAATCAAACTTTCTGAGAATTTTTAAAAGTTATTTTTGATATTTTAAACAGCTTGGCAAAATCAATATGGATTTGCAAGAAATTTTGGCTAATATGAATCTGTATTTTCTAGCGAGCACTTCCACGCTAAAAATGTTTCAATCCCTGGATGGTAAATAGCGATGTACCATGACTGTAAAGCCACACAAAAGAACCTCTTTAATAGATTTATCACCTGGGTTTATCTCTTCATATCTTTGCAAAACTAGAACAAGAAAGTATTGTCCAAATACTGTGAGGCATTAGAAAGTAAATGCTACATGTACGTGCAAAGCTGAGGGAAGCCAAGCGCATGTAAAAGGTGCAAGCCTGGGATGCTGCAAGAAAAGATGCTAGATGTAAGGAATACTTAACCATGCACTTGCTAATCGAAATCACATGGAGTAATTTTAAAACCAATAAACAATCATCATCCTCCCTGTGGACCCCTTTAGGGAAATCTTAGTTACATCAGCAAAAGGTGTACGAATCACAAGGGGAAACAATTCTGCCTCGCACGTTTATAAACCTGGTCAAAGATGATACAAGCCCAATTCTTTAAAGAACTTCTAGCACATGAATACACCTGCTAATTAATGACAATCCTGTGACAAAGGGAAAAAAGAGCAGATAAAGCGATATATACCTCCTACACATTGACTTTTTTGAACAGCAACAAGCAACAAGCGGCCTGATAGCAAACCAAAAAAAAAGAGAGAGATTTTATTGTTGTCTGGGCAATGGCTTTTCAGAAAAGTTGTAGGAATCCCATCCAAGGAAAGCGTTCACTCAGACTGTAAATTCTACAATGGTAATCAGACCTACAAGGCAATATCCAGGGAGATGGTTTACGGACTATGTCTTGCTCAAAACTGCATTTTAAAATATGGACTCGATTCTACAGCAAAATCTGAAACTACATGCAAAGACAGTGGAGTCTAGTTATTTTTTCGCCGAACCCAACAGAATGTCACCAAGGCAAGGGAGTGAGCTATTTTGTCTATAACCTAAACGAAGTGTCATTTTCTCCCCTGCCCGCCTCCAAAGAACCCTCAGCGAAGAATTGTGTTTTAAAATAAAGTTAGGAATTTTCTAGCTAAATTCAACTTTATGATTTTTTTTTCCTAAATACTGTTTGTTTTTTATTTAATTTGGTTTGCTTTTTAGGAAAAAGTTTAAATGTGTGTTTCGCAAGATGCATGATTGCTCTAAAAATATGGTTCTTTCTTCGAAGATCTGTACCTTCTCCCCCACTCTGCATCCTGAATCACTAGGTGACCTCAGAGACCATCTAGAGGCCAATTAGAGATCTCAGGAAAAAAAAAAAATCAAATAAATATCAATATCAAAGAGCCGTAATGTTTGGCGTCTTGATTGAACATTACTATGAGGAAGGTTAAAACTCCTCCAATACGTGAAGACGAAGGGCTTCTAAGAACCAGAAGAATAGTTTAATATCAGAAATTCTGGTGTTTATAGAGTTCAGGTACATTCTGCACAACAATTTTTAGAATTGCAGTTTGGATTTTGGTGCCTATATTCTTACAGTTCTGTTTTGAAATTTAGCTCTAAGGAACATACCCAAGTCTGAGGAGGGGAAACTGAGCACTGAACCTTGCTCCCACTAGATTCTCGTGCTGTGCACCCCACCAAAGGACGAAAGGTCTCCCCTCAGCTGAGACGGCCTCAGCGCCCAGAGGCACAATCCTCTGCAAGTTACTCAGCATCTCCAGTTCCTGGAGACATGAACTATCACCTGCAAAGCTGTCGAGGGAGAAGAGAGCGAGCGAGAGAGAACAGAGACAGAGAGAGAGACCTGTAGCTGCAATGTGCTAACACGACAACCCTTTCTGAAAGAGCAAACACCTTTCTAGTCCTGCAAGTGTGTCTTCAGGAGTTGCTAGCAAGTGCTCTACCAGCAGAAGAGTTTCCCTCTGGTATTTCTCTTGCTTTCTGGATATTTGAGAACTCGCTGGCCGTTTGGCTATGTGACACTAGATGGAGCTGCGTATTTGCTAAAGGCAACGGGCCCTATCTCGCCTTCTGTCCGCAGAGGGCAGCCAAGCTCTTCGCTGGTCTGGTCATCTTCTCTTACCATGGGACCACGAAAAGGTGAATTCAGTTCCCTGGAAAACTAGTTAGGGATGTATAGGGATTGTGCAGGGGCATGTGAAGATTTTTGGAAGCAGATATGGGCAGCAAGTTTGATTCAGTCCCTCTGAATGCTGATGGGACTTCTTAAAACTGTCTTGAGCAATTCAGGGTCTTGAGCAATTCAGATTTTTGGAAGCAGGCAGAGAGGGCTATGGTGACAAAGCAAACAGCAATGAGCCTGTAAATAAAACGTGTTTGTGATAAGCATGGCTTTACGGTACTTTCGCAAGTTTAAGAAGTCGAGATGAGAAAGCAAAGATGGGGGGAGGGTCACTAAAAGCAGAGCTTTGGAGAAGTTACATCTTTGCAGAATCACAGAAGGCAGGTTAATGTCACCTCCCTGCTTCCTACCTTCAGCAGACAGTGCGGCCACTGGGTGAATGGGGCAGCCTGAACTGCCACGCTGACCTGCTTGCTGAAATCTCTTGTGCACTTATTTCTCACTCCTGCAAGGAGCTGAGGAGGAGATAAGACACATTATATGGCAGCCCCTATGAGCCCTTGAGGTTCTCATCCCCTCCCTTCTTTTTGTCACTGGCCACCAAACTACAGAGCCAGCTCATGCAACTCTACGGTCTAGTGTTCAACCACCGCTCCATGACCAGTGCACAAAGTCTCCAGAAGTCCCAGGTGACCACTTGGCAGTCTCCCAGTCAAATATTGAGCAAGTCCAGAGCTGCTCAGCTTCCAAAAGCAAGTTCATTCAGCTGAGCATGGTTGCTTCATCACTCAGCTTTGTTTCTAGCCTTGCTGCCCTACACTTAATGGAAAGGGATAAAAGATAGAAGTGCTTCAACAAAGGGACCACAAGATGGTCAAAGCTTCAAAGCACTGCCATAATACCATCCTGGATGAGAGTGGTAATATACCAAACAGCAGTTCTTCAACAACATTTGAAAGTTTATTCTCCATCTCAAAAGCAAATTAGACAGAGGTACTTTCTCCCTCTCAAATATGAAAAACACTGTGAAAAGAGGTAATGACAGATGACTGTGGTAATTCATATACTTTATGTTAATATACTGTATATATAATATAATATATATAATATATTAGATATATTTTTGTATATATATAAATGTGTTTGCATGTGTATGTACATGTGTATGTGTATTTATATATGTGTGTGTGTGTGTATATATATGTATGTATGTATATATATATATATGTATGTATGTATGTATTTGCATGCATTTACTTTCCATTGATTATTTCTATGTTTATTGGTTATTCACTCCAGGAACAGCAGTCACTGTCCCAGAGGGTATATTTGTGGGAGAGAATTAATTGTCTTTTTACTGCTCTGCCTATCACAATAATAAAGCTAGGCAAATATGAGACCTGTTAGGAAAGTTTTTTTTTTTCTTTTTGATCTTTGTTGCAGTATGATTCTAATTTAGTTTTTGGAATAATATGTAGGAATCTTCCATTTGTAGCACTGAGGACAATTTTTTTTTTCCAGTGACTTCATATACAACAAGCCTCTGTCTTAATGAGATACAAGGGGCCACACTTTGAAAAGGGCATATTTGTGAGTAACTTTGGCTCATATGTCTATTATCTGATTCGTGTGTGGTGGCAGCATTAAAAATTTGACCTTGTTCCCAGCGAGTCAACAGCAAGATTGCTTCCAGCTTTAATGAAGCAAAGTCTGGAAGCAGAAGTGATTTTTTTGTTGTTTTTTTTTTTATAAGAATGACAGACACGACTGAAAAAAAGCAAAGAAGGTTTTTGAGCACGCTCTTTTTTCTTCAAATCTGAAACAGCAGTAGCCATATAGTTTTAGCTAAACAGGTTGGGAACAATTGGTGTGTTCTTTTCTTTTGTTCCCCCCTTAGTTGTGCTATTCAGCCTTTAATATGAGCAGAAACAGGGCCTGAAAAAAAATGAAAAAACCATGATTCTCTACCTAAATCTGTAGCTAATTGTTCACTTACTTGCAGATAAATTAGATGCTTGGGAAGTTTTTTCTGAAGTATGCTCATTTTCATTTTGTACCTGGGAGAGATAATGCCATTAATCTTTTTAAATTAACCCAACTTTGGATGCGAAGCCAGTAGAGCTGGTTTGTACCAACCAAAGTTATATTTACCTTTCCATTACATAAAGCGCTTTGGCCAAGGAAACAATGAGTCATAGAGAGAAAGTTGCTCTAGAAAAAGGGAGAGAGAGAGGGGGAAAAAAAAGGTAGAATTCTTTTAAGTAGGGACTCTAATAAGCTAATTAGTTATGCTTAACTCTCCTACTCCCTTATTTTTTCTTATTGTTTGTTTATTTTGATTTGTTTTGTTTAAAACTTCAGATGCAACATGGAAAAGTCTCATGCATTGCCAAAGGCCCCTGGGCAGTGCAACCAAAACCGGGTAGTTTGTCCCATCTGTGAAGCGGTCAAGCCAGACAGCTCCTTCTAGGGGAAAGTAGAGTGGGAGAGCCAAGAATAAGGGTGAGAGAGTTTCAAAAAAACAAATTTTTTATTCCTTTTCTTCCTGGGGAATAGGAAAAGTGCTTCTGAGGAAGGCTGCTGGAGTGGGCCGTCTCCCTGCAATAGAGCTAGCCTTGTACCTCCAGCTTCTGCCCTTCTGGAGCACGCTAGGTAGCAGAGCCTTAGCTTTTTTTTTAGACCTTGTTTGTCTCCTGGCCATTTCACCTACGCCTTTACCTACATAATAAGCTTAGATATTGTTTGGGGATTGTTTGATCCTCCTTAAATAGCACAGGGTTTTTTTTTCCTCCCAGTGAACAGCTTTATTCTTGTAACTGCCTGAGCATAAAACAATGAAATCCAACTCTGAGCAGCAATTCCAAATGTGAATTCATGCTATCTGGTTAATTAGAGAAATATTTTAATAAGCTTATGCAAGATCTGTTCTAAACACAAGGATGCTAGAGACTTTGGGGGAAAAAAAGTCCATCAAAGAAGTTACGCATCAGGGAAGATGACCTGGCCTGTTATGATTCTAATGGGAACATCACTGCTTTGAGCTCTGTGAACTGATTCTCTGATTCTCTCTTTCAAGTCTTCTGTCTGATTGCTTTGAATATCTTCTATACACCTGCTTGCTGGTGAAGTAGGCAAATGCTTTGTTGTGTTTCTTTGCATTAAAAAGTCATTTCTGTTCTAATCTAGGATGACCGCTAATGGCAGAAATAGTTGAATTAGGCCTATAGCTAGAAGCATCCCATGCTGTTACAGGCACTAATTTCACTTGCAAGCATGTGTGTCTGTTTTATCATTATTTTTGTTATTGTTTTTTTATAGGACTTGCTATGAAATGTTTCTATTTAATCATAATTATTTTTAAGGATCTTTTATAAACACAAGCAATTTTTCCATCTTGCTGATTTTATTTTCTTCACATCTGCCTGCACTTTCAGAATTTTTAGGGAGAGGTGAAATATATTACTACAGATGATGATACAGAAGGAAAAAAGCCGTTCTGTCATATCCCAAGACCATCATAGCTACAGCACTGTACTGCAAAAATAGATCACCCCAGCATATTATGTCTCCTGCTTTAGGGGAGACCCCTTCAAGGCGTTGCCTGTGTATTGCTGGACCTTAAGCTCCCATTGATATTGAAGAGAGAGTCCCAGATCCAGACTTATCTTCTACATCTTTATTTCTCACTAAACTGAGGCCAAAGGAACCTAAACGTATCCACCTAGTCCATATTTTGCAATGATATAGAAGATATTTTTTCCCCAAAACAAGCCTACATTTTTTGATTTTTGAATAGAAGAATGCAAAAGCAAAATTAACACGTTTGGCAGCCCTTTCTGAAAGACTGAGAAGTTCATCTTCTCCTTAGCCCCAGGCAGAGAAGATCTCAGAGTATTCTTTTATCTCAGTGCTTTGATTTAGTTTCCAGCTGTCCTACTTTCGTATCTGCTGTCTCTCTTATGGATGGTTATTGTATCTCCTACTTAACATAATTCAGATGTTTGCAGAACATGAAAGGTGATTCACACCAAGTCCACCATGTGCAATGACCATCAAGAAGCTGCTGCTGTTCCAAAACAAGATATGAGTTCCTTCAGTCCTGGAGAGTCAACATCAAAGACAGTCTGATGGAGGCTGCATCAGAATTGTCACTAAAATAACACAGACACCTGCTACATAGGAAAATTTGCGGATGGAAAGGGTGGGAGATCAGCCACAATCAATGCCTTTTTTTTTTATTTTTAGAAGATTTTGATTTTATTTTGTTTAAATGTTGTTTTTGATGAAGCCTGAAAAAAGTAGAATTGGTAAAAAAGGCATTTTCCATCCAAAAATCACCAAGGAAAAATGTCATCCACATCTACTCCCACATGAATGGAATGAAGGAGGAATATTGAAGGACATACTTCAGCTCTTTGCTTTACACCTATATATTTGTTTTGGAGCAGATGTAATATCTGGATAAAAGCAGACAAGGTCTTAAGGTAAAGGTAGTGTCATTTATTATCCCAGTTATCCATTGTTTTCATCTATATTAGCTGAAGATACTGAATTCTGAAAGGGACGTTCTCCAATTCTCATATCCTTTCCCTATCCCTATTGGAAACAGGCTACTGCGTTAAATGAACTCTCGGTCTTACTGTAGCATGGACACTTTATGTTCTTATGTTCCTTGTGTTTCCAATTTTACATATGCACAATCACATTCTGCAGATGGGGAAATCCAAATGCTCTCGAGATCAAGCATGTCTAAAATCAGCAGTTAGCCCAGGGTGTTTCCAGTAGCTTCGAATTCCACCCTGCACCAAACATCCTTGCAGATCTCTGGTTTGAAATCTAAGTGTGAGAACCTTTTCATTGCTTTGTCAAATGCAAACACAAGTGTCTGGAGAGGATTCTTGCAGGAATCGTTCTGAGCCACTGAAAATGGCTATGTCCTTTTTTGTTGTTGTTGTTCTTATTCAGGTAATTCCTGCTCCTGTGCCTTTTACTTTACAGCATCCCACCTGGTGACCCAGATTAGCTGGCTTACTCCCAGGCTTATCTCACTTATACCTCACTTGCCTAAAATACTTAGTTGTGCTAGATGTAGATCCTCTTTTTTTCCAAGCACCATCTTCTAAGCAAGAAGGCTTTTTCTGAGGGTTGCAGTAACTTTCCAAGATCAGCTGCACTTTTCTCCCCAGACCGATTCTAGAAGCCTTTCTACCTAACCTGGTAGGAGGCGCAGTAAAAAATGAGGAATAAACACCAGAGTCCTTATTAATACAAGATGCTACACTCACATGTACGACTTCACTTATACTCAGTGCAAGAATAAAAATATATATGGATCTGTCTCAGCTGGGTCCGTCCTTGGGTCCTGTCCATGGCTCTACTACTGCCTGGGTCTACCCTAAATGCTAAACCCTTCCTCAATATCAAACATGCCAGATATGCACATGAGAAAACCTGTCAGTAAGGCCACTAGCATAGGCAGAGCAAGCTCTCCACAGCCCGTGGGACTCTGAATCCCTGGGACTCCGAATCCCTGAGCGCACAGATGGGTTAGCACCGTCAGCCTGCTAAGGCAGGTCACTCTGGAGCTCTTGAGGAGACTCAAGAAAGGAAGAAGCAGTCAGCTTATGACTGCTCTTAGAGCCATATAGCAGTGGTCCCTGAGACAAAATCAACCAGGAATGCTATGCAGGAGACACTAGAGGGAGAAAACGAGACTTATTAGGACTGCTTGAGACTCATTGTGGTGTGCTGATGTAGGAACAGTGTTTTATTCAGCATCTTCCCTACTTCACACAGATCACCATGCTTTGGCTTATAAATAACGATATTAAGGAAACGTTAGATGTGGTCGTCTGCACCTGTCTCCTAGTGAGGTGGAGGGAAGCCTGGTAATGGTTTATAGTTTACTACCACAATTTGGACGTTCTCTCTCTAATTCTGTAGATGGCTTCAAAACAAGCAGAGTTTCCAGGTAGGCATCCACTGTTGTATTCCGGGCTATAAAGTTCAGCTCCCCACATCCATCTTTTAGCATT